CTGTTTTATTAAGCTGGATGAGGATGTAAAAAAATGTTGGTTAGAGAGCTGCAGCAAACAGCTGCATCTTGAGGTCTACAAGTCCATATGGCAGCATGGGGGAAATATTTTAAGACCATTAATGTAGACATGCTTGGCTCGACTGGTATGTTTCTTTATGCTTAACATGTTAATAGCACCTTCATGCATGTAGATCCATTCACTTAACAAAAGCATGTAAAAACAGATCCTCTGACCTCTTCAGTAGAGGGGTTTCGAATTACCCATTACTAGAAAACACTGTGATGCAGGCATCAGATTATTTTTAGGTATGTGTCCCTATCAAAGAAAAAAGAATTGTTCTCTAAACTTTTTCTCTGTGCTTGGCATATAACCTCTCTAAGAGCAGTTTTAAAACCAATTAACACTTTGACCCCAAAGACAGACGACATTTTCCAATTTTTACAGAACATAATCTTATAATGTACATCTTATAATTTCTTGCCCTGAACAGTTTGACCTGATAAAACTGTTATTTAGTGCTCTACCTGCAAACCCTCCTGTTGATCATTTATTCTTAAGATATTGTACTTATATGCTTCCAATTAGTAGAATTATCAGACATTATTGGATTAATTTCCACTGCTAAACTGATAAGACTGTTTAATTTCATTTGTTTGAGCTTTATTTGTCCATAAATCCTGTTGAAGCTAACCCATTTCATAGAATACATTTCTTGAAGACAAAAACCTGGATGACTCTGAACTCTCTGATTTTGAATGCAGAACCTTTAGTCAGTCACTTCATCTGGAGAGGATTAAACTGATCTCAGATAATAATGTAAAAGAAACTCTTAGTGTACTTTGCAGATAGATCTATTACTTATTATTAATATTAATGTTTGTATGAAATTGAAAGCTGATTTTTAAAGGGTAACCACTAGATCAGAAAAAAAAAAAAGATTAAATGTATTTAATCAAAAGTATCAGAAAGTTTTGCAGCACAAAAAACAGCAAAGTATATATAAGATTTTACATGATTCCATATTGACCACTAGCTGGAGCTTTTACCTTATTCAGGGTTTTTCCCTGACGTAAGACTCAATAACTACAATACTGTAATATTTAGTTAAACTAAGATTTATTATGATTACCAAATCCTCCAATAATTTATTTCAGCAGTAATTTCAACCAGTATATTTAGCTCATAATGGCCAGGGCAGAAAAAAATGCATCTTTAATATTTGATATTTATTGTGATATATAAAATAAGCTGGAAATATGCTTTTGTCAGATGAGACTGAGGTTTTTAGAATAGTCCAGCTGGGTTTGGCTTAAGGTAAATATGATAATCCAGCACATGATCACTACAAAGTAGAACCTGTGTTATACTTTGGGCCTGTTTCTATTTAAAAGCCCTGGGAACCTGGAACATTTGGCTTTTTTAAACACCGTAATTTTTATTTAAAAAAAAAACTTATTCTGAAAAGATAAAGACAATCAACACAAAATGCTAAGGTAGATCCCTCCCTTGTCAGAGCTGAGCTGTAGACAGGAGGGGAAAAAGGGGACCCAGGAAAGATTGTGTAAGGAGGTCAAAGTCAGCTCTTCTAGCATGTTTGACCTTCAGGAACCTGATATCAGAAATCTTATCTTTTCCAGGTACACAGATTTTTTCCCTATTTGATTGACTGTACTCAGATGTTAGGTTAAAATTGTTTGCACTGTTTAGTGCAGAGGTGGATAGAGTGCCCAAAAACTGACTCACGAATAAAACTACTTAATCATATTTTTACTCACATGAGTAAAAAGTATTTGGTTTAAGGCTACCTAAGTACTGAGTAACTCATCCATCACACCAGGTACTTAAAGTTAAGAAAAAAAAGACTAAAATTAAATGTCATATGTAACGTCTGGTATTTTAAAGACTATAATAAAATGATTAAAACAAATATTGTTATTGGAAAAAATATACATTTTAGGGCGAATAAACACTTTTCCAAACCAGTTTTCTAATAAATATTAAATTCATGAATCTCCCAGTGGCAATATTTATACTTTACTGTGTATAAATTTGACCATTATGATATGGTAGGTTCAAGTAAGCTTCTGTACAAAAAAAAAAAAAAAACAGATTTTAACAAAAATGGTGACTGTGTGTCTTTGCATGGAACACTTAAAAAGAAAAAGGCTTGTTCTTCGCAATTCCCAAATGATGTATGTAGCCAAACATTTTACTCAGGTATTAGTATATATGTGAGTGCTTTAAGATATTATTTAAGAAAAAATGTGCAGTAAAGCAGATACTCAAGTAAATGGAACTGAGTAAATATAACTGTACTACCCACCTCGGGTCCAGTGTGAGATTTGCTTACTTTTTATTTCAGTATTTTTTTCTTAAACTCCTTTACCAGGGATTAAAAAAAAACACCCTCACAATATCACTGAAAAGAAAAATGAAATGTTTAAAAGTGATAATGCTCATACCTTTATTTGTATTTCATATTAACGCATTTAATATTTTCACTGAGAACTTTAAATGCCATGACCAAAGAAAAAAGACAATGTTATTTTGGTCCAACTGTACATCTGATACCGAGTCTATAGAAAACAGCTCAGGTCATACAAACAGATTCTACCTCCACAAACAACAAAACATCTCCAGAACAATATTTTAGTACCAACAAGCTTTCAAGTTGCTTCTGCTTATGAACATCCTGTTGACATATTAATACAGACAATAAAGATCAGCTACAGATGTTTAACACAACATACAAACAGATACTTTACATGTTTCTGTTGATTTTTTTTTTATGTAAGACACAACACACAGAGCAGGATTCATCACCAGAAGACTTAGTCATTAGATTTGCGGTTCAGTGTTTAAGTTTCAAGTATGACACAAAGGCATCTGTACTACATTGTTCTAAAAAAAAAGGGGAAAAAAAAGTTTAAAGCAAAACTATCTGGTTTGTATTCACAAAGATTTTCAATCCTTTCAGAGAGCTCCTAACCAGTGGCGCCTGCAGAAATGTTTGATAGAGGTGGCCAGATGGGGCCACTAAAATTCTTGGGGTGGCACACTAAAAATAGAAGCCATAATTTTAGGGTTTGAATATACTATTGTAGTAAACCTGACTGAAAATCATAAAGACTTAAGTAAACACCTGCTCAAATCTTGATTTATTGTGTGATTTTTAATGTTACGCTGCTGGCAAAATTGAATGAAATGCTTAAACTGATGCTACTACAATTTACACTGGCCAGTGGGGTGGCATCGGCCCTGGTGGCGCCACTGCTCCCACCTTGGCCTAAACATTCCTGACAAGGGATTTTAGCAGAAGAGGGAATCAGACATCATCTGAGTGAGAACAAAGGAGCGATGAGAGGTAAACTGGTCCCAGGACAACTAGATTTTTTCTGAACATTTTTTTCTCAGCTTTTAAACACCTGATAAGTTTTCATGTACAATATAGCAGATACTTTCTCACCTCCTTTACAACTTTCCTCTATGCACATAGAGAATATATTATTGTATTTAATGGTTTCATTATTTGTAGATTATTCTGTATGCAGAAAAATCACAAGAAAATTTGTCTTGGAGGGATAAGACTAGAAAAGTGCTCTGAATTCAGTCTGAATCTTAGTGTTCACTGAAGTGTGAGCTAAAGGTGCAGAGGCGTTCAGGTGTTGCTGTGGAATCGATGGATATGTGACCGCCTGTAGAGGAATGTTAAAACTTGAGGCTATAAAGTATATTAACATTAAGTACATAAGCTTTCCCATCTACTGTTCTTATTGCTAGCATGTCCTTTTCTTTCACAAAATGCCCTCGATGTTACGCTGCTCCTCCATGCAACACAGCTAATTGGACGCCATTTAGGGGATAACTTAAGCAGTTTATTTAGTGTTTATATTTGCAAACAGAACTGCATAGTCTTCTGCATCCCTGTTGCATATTCATTAAATATTCCCTATCAATTAATCGGATAAGAATTTTTATTGTAGTATTGATCAACAATTAGTACCCTGTCTGCGATTGGTAGAAACGGGAATTTTCTTTCCCCTTAATGTTCTACTAGGAGGCTCTGGGGAGGATTCACTAGAAGTTGCTGTAGATGGGGTTAGTCAACCATGCCAAGCAGTTTACTTTGAGGCATTGCGGGACGGTGTTAAGCAGCTACTTCCACTGTCGCCATCTGGCTCTCTGACTGTTCTGCAGTACTGCCAGTAGATGGTGCACATGTTTATGTCTGCCAATAGTGCCAGTACCAGCTCAAAAATTACTAAATTGGATCTAAACTAGGGATGAAAAAATTAATCAGATTAATTGGTTATTGAAATAATCGTCAACTAATTTAGTAATCGATTTATCGTTAACTGGACTATAGAGACTCTAAAACAGGCCTTTAGCTGACAGAGCAACCCACTTAGAGCAGCAATTATGTCAAAATTGTATATATATATATATATAAACATTTTGCATTGAAGAAAAAAAAATGATTTTTCGTCTGTCAATATGCAAGTTTTAGTTAGTTTTACGTTCATAAAAAATCTTTTTTAAGGAACCTTTTGCTATCCGATTATTATTGATTACTATTGTTAATGCAAAATAATTGTTAGTTGCAGCCCTAGTCTAAGTGCTATCAAGATGGAGGCTTGGTGTTTATCACCCTATTTTATTCATGAATTCTTATTCTTAATATCAAATGGTTTTGAGTATTTTTTTTGTATAGACATTTAACGTAACTATATTCCTATAAGGCTTTGTGAATACCTTTATCACTCCGGGGTAAAATTCTGAGAAATGACTTGGAATTCAGGAAGTTTTAAGATTTTCCCTCAATCGACATCATCATGTATTTTCAGTTTTAGGATTCTTTGTGAATATAGACCTTGGACCTCCGTTCTGTGGTTGCAAAACCTGCAGACTGTCACCAGTATACAGTAAAATACAACAGTCCTTTGTAAAGAAGCCATGGGGAAGTGCAGATATGAATAAATTCCTTTTTTTTAAAAGCATAAAGTCAACCACAGTGACGATCTTTGAGAACTGATCACCTATATCTGAAGAAATAAGATAATTCAAAGGTATTCTACATTCGCCCAAAATCAAACTCCAGGCCGCTCTCATGCAGGCTGCCTTCATTTGCGTTGTCAAAGCTGTTCTTGCCGTGGATCTGTTTGAGGTGCTTTCGTAGCACAGGCTTGTGAGCAAACACCATGTCGCAATAGTTGCAGCGGTGCGGCTTGTCCCCACTGTGCAAGTTTAGGTGATCCAAAAGTGAACATTTCTGGGTGAATGTCTTGCCGCATATTTTGCACTGGAAGGGCTTGATGCCAGCATGGACGCGCATATGTCGGTGCAAGTTTCCCTTCTGGGTGAAGGTCTTCCCACACAGGAGGCACATGAACAACTTATGCATCTTGAGGTGGTTGGCATAGTTCTCCAGCTGGCGGAAGACCCTGGCACATTTAGGGCACTGGTGGTACCACTGCAGCGGTTTGTCATAGTTCCTCTGGTGTCCGCTGTGCTTCTCCGTGGGCGGGGACGAGGGAGGGGGGCTAAGGGGATAACCGGCCATGTCAGGTGGGACTGCTGTCTCGCTGCCACGGCTGTCCACAGTGGAGTTGATGAGCGAGTGTTGGGGCTCGGGGGAGTGCAGCGCAGCGGGGGGGCTGGCAGAGAAGTGACCAGTGATTGTGTTTTCGGTGACATCATTTACAGACTCCACTTTCACTATGGTGATGTCATTTTCCACCAAACCTGGCCTTGGACGCTTCCTCCAAACCTGGACAGGGCTCTTGGGTTGTATTATTACATCATCATCCTCATCATCTTCATCATCACTCTCAACATTGTTTTCTCCCTCAACTTTTCCCATAACTACTGTTTCATCCTCCTCGTCCTCCTCATCCTCCTCCACTCCCTCAGGTACGGTCCGCACCTGAGTACGCTCAAGCTCCCTCTGAGCCTGGGAGGAGGAACCTTCCCCTCCTTTCTCTCTCCTTATTTCCACATCCAACTCCAGCTGGCGGGAGGCCTGAGGTTTGATGAACTTGTTGAGGGCCTGGGTGCACTGCTCCACAATGTGGCCCATTTGGAGAAAGCTGGCCACTGTCAGGTAATGCACAAGCTCCAGTTCAGGAAACTCCAGCTGGCCGGTGTAACAAGAAAGCAGCAGCTGCCTGCCAACTTCTGCCTCTTGGATCATAGAGATCTGGACCTCCTTGGAGTCCTGCTGTAAAATAAACTGGTCCCTCAGGAAGGACGAGCCAGCAGCAAACACTACTTTATGACCAGGGACCTCTAACTGGTTGATGCGGACAATGACGTCACAGAAGCGTCTCTGGTGTCGAAGAAGATTCATCTTCTGCAGCATAGAGTCTCCAAACGTGGCGAATCTGAACTGCAGGATCACCTGGTTCTGGGCCATAGTGAACCACTTGGCAGCAGCAGCACAACTAGTGAGGAGAAATACAAAAGACTGCAATAAATATCCAATTTGAATTATCAACACAATACTAATATGTAGGGCTGTGAATTGGCAAGAAGTTGTCAAGCTGAATAATAGAAGGGGTATAGTTTACGTCAGCCAATCAAGTGACATTCGTGATTCCGACTCCTTGGAGGGCAAAACAAACCTTGAAAAAAACTAGAAACTATTGGAGTTTTTTTTGCATATTATATGGTTGTTCTGCAAAGAGGTCTGCACATGCAATTAATACTCCTACGAGAAGCTTTACTTCATACAGATAATAAAGTACTCCTCGTGGGCATGTTGAGCATGTTACGTGTATAAAGAGTACCAAGGGGCACCCAATATATCACATACGCGTACTTGTTCCTTCTTGCTTCTTTTCTCCCTCTTCCTTGCGGTTGGACCTGTTTCTGTGTGCTCATGTCAATTTCTGACACTTTGAAGGCGTTACCCACCAGACAAAGCAACCTGCCTGGGATTGGGTACGTTTTAGGAAATTTCTCAGCTTTACTTGTGACGCGTTGCCCAGATAACCAGCATAAACTGGCTGTTACTCTTTTCACAAGAATGTGAGTGAGGACTCGTGTCCTTGCCAAGTATGTTCTTGAGATGAGAACAGGAAAATATGGGCTCGGGGAGAACGGGAGCACACAACATAAATAGAACAGAAGCGTACTTGTGACGTCACCACACGCTCGGCTCATCTGGAGCTGCATTTCACCTCCTGTTATTAATAGTCTCTAGATAATAATAAATTATTACTTCCTTCATTTAGTGTGAAAATAATAGTTAACACAGTCAGATAAACACAAAAAAAATGAACATTTTGGCAAAAAAAAAACACGCTATGCCGAGAGAGGGCTGCTGCAGATGGGCAAAAATACACCCTGGCTGCGGTTAGGCTCGGAGGTCCGCTGGTTGCCGCGGTCCTCTCAACATCAGGACTTTTTTTTTAAATGATGCTCTAAATCAGTAAACATACTGAAAGCTTAAAAGTATAATGTTCCTGCCTCAAGTTATCTGAAAATGTACTTTTATAGAACAACAGAAAAGAGAACTTTTAACTTAATACTCTGAGCTCAGCGAGCACTGCCCTGGAAGATGCAGCTGCCGCAGTGCATGCTGGGACAGCTGTCATTCTCAAGAATTGACAAGTCTGCTCTGATGCATACTCCATAAAGGGGGAAGGGCGAGAATTATACCCGGGGACTTTGTCCGTTCTCGGTCTTCATGCGAACTGGAACAGTACTAGGGCTGAGGCTAATGACGTTTTTCGAGTACACGAGCACATGAGAACGCACAAGTACACATTTTGAGAAACGGCCACCGTCATCCCGTTTCCAGCTAACGTTTGAGTTAGCAGAAACTATCAGGCTATATGACGGGAAATTTTTTGGAGGTGTGCTATAACCCTTTTTTTTTTTTTTTTTATCCTACAGCCAGGCAGAATCCAGCTTTGATCCAGACCATGTTATATCTTACTGCTTACCAACTTCTACAGAAGCAGTTGGCCTGAAGCTGCTTTGCTAGTAGGAGAAAGAGTGCAACCTCAAGAGGTGGGATTTCCTGAAAAGTAGGGTGGGTTGTTGGGTGGGTAACGCCTTCAAAGTGACAAAAGTTGACATGAGAACACAAAAACTGGTTAACACACGAGGAGGAGGTAGGCTGCACACGTGGAAATAAACACACGCATCATTTCCACAAGTGTAAAGAAGGAACAAGCACTGCAGTACTCTGTTGCACATGTAACATGTTAAACAGAGGTGAGGAAGAGTTAATGAGTGATATATCCATCCATCCATTTTCTGTCACGCTTATCCCAGGGTACACCCTGGACAGGTTTCCATCGCAGGTGTTTAATATAACGATGCTCTATTTCCACATGTAACATGATAAACATGCACGTGAGGAAGAGAGTGTCTGTATGAAGTAAAGCTGCTTGTAGGCATATTTATAATAATAATAATATATAACAATAATATTAGCTTAAAAACACCTATAAAAACATATCAAACAATCCCATACTCAGCATGTTGATTTACCAACTGATAAGGAGGAAGGCATCTAATTCCCTAAAGACCCAGAAAGGCAAGCGACATGGGTGGCTGCTGTGGAGAGACACCGCTGAAACCAGCTACAACTAGCAGAATTTGCAGTGATAACTTCATAAACAGTTAGTTGTTATGCTCAAATCATTTTTCTTGTTTGTTTTTTTTAACATTCAAACGGATGTGCCTCTGACATGGGTCAAAAACAAGACCAGAGTTTCATCTTTTTGCAGGGTTTCACCCAGCTATCATAAACCTGGAGGGAGGCCAGGATTTTCTTGCACCCCCGCTAGGATGAGCGTCATCTTTACATTTTAAATGCATCAATATTTGAGAGTGAAATAAAACTGAATGAGGTTCCAGTCTGTGAGAAAAACTCCAGGTCCGAATAGCTAACAGGCTATTTGTTATTATAACCTAACACATAGTATGTCCACAACACTGCTGCTTCCAGCCGCATGACGCAGTTCTAATTCACTTGGTATACACGAAAAAGCTTTCTAAACTTTCTTAAAAAGGAAGATTGGATCTTTAGCAAATAATTGTACAGGTTACAGTGGGTGAAGTCGGGGATGTCTGACGGATAGTCTGGTATTGGTAAATAACAAGCAAGCAGGCAAATTATATGGATCCTGCACTCCAACAAGAGAACTTTTTGCTATAAAGTGCTGTTTTAACATCTATAGACAATTTTGGGTTAACTGATTCTCCACTCATTTTGAATTATATCTCCCTTTACCATCAGGTGGCACGCAGGGATTTTTAATGCTGTACAGCATGGCAGCGTAAACAGACAGCGGCCAGGTAAATGCAAACCAGCTGCTGGAGGTTAAACAGTTAGAAGTAAGAAAAAGTCATGGATGTTTCCCTACAAATATTTTATTTTATATTTAAGATCCATTCTGCAGTGTTTTAATAACTATATCTGCTCATGGACTATTACATCATTGGACGTAGTCTATTTTCTCTAACACCCCTACTACTGTGAGGTAGTAGGGGTAAGGTATTAGCGTAAATCAAACATATTTTTATTACTCAGTTCTTAGAATGAAGAACATTAGACAAGGTAAAAATAAAAATAATATTCAAACAAGGAACAATAGTCAAAATTAAAGGTAAAAGAACAACTTACCAATATCTTTTTTTAATAAAGGGTTACATAAATCATAAGTAGAGTTCTTCCATCAGTCTGAGATATTAGATGCAGGCTGCAATATACATTGTGTTTTTTTGACTGATGTCTGCTATAAATACTGGACTGGGATATCACTAATATATTCATCAATCTACTAGATTTGTTTATCATTTAAGTTTAAAGGAATATTTGCTAAATCTAATGTTTTATTAAACATTATTACAAACTTTTAATTAAAAGTAAAGTCTTTTAATAGATGTGTGCAGCATGCACACTTTTGTGATCCAAGGCATGTTGGATAAAAACTTTTCTCATATTTTTAAATGGACACAGATGTACATTTTACATTCTTCTTTTGTTTTTACTGCCTTTCTTACCTAGATGTTTGTTTACAAATTACTGTTTAGAGCCAAACCACGTTACCGCCACTGCACTAATGAAGAAGAGCTGTTCGGGGACTCAAAAGAGTCTCGGTTCCTGTTGGGAAGATGAGCCAACTGATGTGGATCTCGGAAAGATTCCTGCAATTCTCATCGTCACAATGTGAATTAGCCACACATATAAACATAATATTAGACATTGGTGAACAAAAGGCGCCAGCCGAGAGCTGTGATGCACTAAATGATTGGAAATAAAGCAGCTGTTGTTGACAGCTTCAGTCTTATTGAACGTGTTATCCCTGTTCTTCTTTCAAACCTGTTTTTCGATGTCCGAGCACATCTGAAAACTAGATTATCAGTGTAGCTAACGGAACGCTCGCGCTCACTTCCTATTGAGGAAAACATGCTTCCCTAGAACGTTCCCGGCAAAATGACACAAAAATCATCCAGTTTGAAGTAACCGGGGTTTTAAAGATAAAACAACATGCCTGAAATCACCCAAAGAGCCCCGGTAAAGGCCTACTCAGTAGCATTGCGGCTAACAGCTCAGGTGGCTCGCGCGATCATTGCAAACAATGCATCCTTTCTGCCTTCAATGCAGCTTTTAGCTGTTATAAAGCGCTGTTTACAAACTACCTACTGGTTACCAACCTAGTTGTTACTGGGTTGTTGTTGGCAGGATCCTCGCTGTGACCTCCTGTGGAAAAGAGGAAGCTGCTCCGGATGCAAAACAATTAAAGGCCCAGTACCTGTGGACCATTTTTTTTATAGCGAGTCACTGTGGACAGTCAGTGTGGACACAAAGCTAAAAGAATTTGATTAACACTGTTGGATAGCAAAGCCAATCAATCAATCAATCAATCAATCAATCAATCTTTCTTTCTTTCTTTCTTTCTTTCTTTCTTTCTTTCTTTCTTTCTTTCTTTCTTTCTTTCTTTCTTTCTTTCTTTCTTTCTTTCTTTCTTTCTACATATGGCATGGATATTTTCAATCCATCCATAAATATTTTACTAATATGTCTTTTTTGCATTATTCTTTCCAGATGTTTTTTTCGATTTCAGAATATTTTTGATGAATCATAATAGCACCTGGTGTCAAATATGGTGACATTTTTTAAGTTAATGAAAACCTTATATAAAGGGAAGTGGTATTCATAATATCTTCATATTATGTCGAAATTCAGATAATTATAACGTCAAAATTAATAAGAATCGAACCAGTAATTATTGGAAAACAATCATTTATTAGATTTGAGTGTTGTAAATTACAATATGTGAATTAAGTATTTACAGAATGCACAGCTTGGGATCATTGTTATTCCCACTATGAATGTAGAGGCTGGGCTGTGGGGGCTACGTCTTGTTCACACACCTAAAAGAGAACATAGAATAAAATTAATTTCCAAGCTAGATGGCTTACCTTAACTTTGCAGATTATACAGATTTCTTTGTGGAAAATACAAAAGCTGCATTCTCACTGTAGCTAAGAATTACTTGGATAAGAAAAGTCAGAATAATGTAAAGGAAACAGCTAATGGCCATGAATACCTTTAAAAATATATATATTTCATTAGCTATAAAGATTGTTTTAAGCTTAAAACAGGAAAAAGCCCTCTGTTTAACTAGAGTCAGACAAAAACTGACTTTAGTTAAACAGAATAAAATATGAGACATTAAAAAGAAATGTGTCCTCATCTTCATCAGCAGTGATTTAGGTCTCTGAAGTTTCCGACTGAGGCCTTTTTATTATTCTTAATTGTGAACTTAACCAAGGCATGTAGGTAATCCTTTTACTCCTGTTGTGACCTCCTGGATGAATCATTCATATTCTCTTGGAGTCATTTTGGTCCACTGACCATATTTGCTAATGTTTACAAGTGTTCCATGTTTTCTCTGCTTGTAAACAATTGATCTGGTTGAGGTTCTCTGACGTCCCAACAGTGTAATGTTATAACCCTTTCCAAACTTATAGATTTTAATGACTTTTCTTCCTACCATATTTGATTTTTTTTTTTTTTATCTCAGAGCATAAAATGTTGGCTTTGGAATCTTTTTACTAACTGTGGATTTTCAGATTGGTTCTTCTCCAGATTGGTTTTGAACACCAAAATTTTTTCAAAAACAACTTCATGTATTTACTCAGTTCATCAGATGTGGTTTTCTAAAACACGAGTCTGACACAGATTATCTGCCTACATGACATCTCTACATGAGCGACCATCTTTCACTGGGATGAAGACATGAAAATAGTGGTCGACGTTCTTCAAAATGTTTTGAATGGCCACAGTATGTGTGATGGGACCTTTTGCTGTTGCTGTGAGTTTTTGATTTCTGAATCTATCTCTATTCTCCCACTCTGCAGAATCTGTTAGTTCAATCTCTAACGTTCTGCTCTCTCTGCTTTTTCTCATAGTAGCTTCATCTGGTCTGTTCCTGTTTGGCTGTGACTCCATCCTGGAGAGAAATATCAGCTGTGCTGCTTCCATCAACAACCTTGTTTATAGATGTTGGTGATCGTCCTGTTTTCCAGTGTAGTCCTGTTTCTCTGACTGTGACTGGCTGGATGTGCTCTCTTCAACCTCTGACATGGGAGCTGGCTCGGAGCTCGTCTGCCTCGCTGTGTGTTTCCTGGATGGGGCCGCCTTTTACAGCTGCTTTTTGTATCTCTGCTTCTGTCTCCTTGAACCCCAGCCGCTCACACTGAGCCTGGTTCTGCTGGAGGTTTCTTCCTGTTAAAGGAGAGTTTTTCCTCCCCACTGTCGCCACAATTGCATCCGAGTCAATGAGTCTATGCAATCACCTGGTTTTCCTTAGATAGAAAACTTTGAATCGATTTGACTGTATGAAGTGCCTTGAGATGACGTGTGTTGTGAATTGGCGCTATATAAATCAACTGAATTGAATTGAATTACTAACATATTCATACACAAACCCAACCAATCTTTACATTCCAATGTATTTTCTTAATGTTCTTTGAAAATGCTGTAAGAAGAACTCATAATTTTAAATTGTAACAGAAACAGAAGAATAGGAAATGAATGTTTTTAAAAACTTTGGTACCATTAAATATAAATTTATAAACTGCAATAAATATTATTCTAAAATAATTTTAGTGAGAGAAAAAAAAACTATATTGTTCATACCAAGCTAAGCGGTATCCTACTAACGAAACCAAGGCAGCCACTGCTACACATGCAGCAGCAGAGAGTGATGTCACCCTCAGAACGTAAGATGTGCCTGGAAAAAACAAATACATTTTGATGAGTAAATAACATCAGATTATGTTGCTGTTTTTGTACATTCTGCATTTTAAAAGACTAGGTTGTCTTCATGTGTAGGATCAGCAAATAACGTCAGGTACCTGCTACTTTAGCCCAAAGCACACAGCAGCTTCTTGACATCTTGGAGAGAAAACCCTCAAAATAAGTCAGCTGTTTAGTTCTATTATTTGCAATGTTGTATGGAGTTATTTCAACTCACCGTTTTCCACTGACTGATAACTCTTAGGACAATAAAGTAGGTGTTACCACTCTCCAGTGGAGCATTATAGAAGCCACCATAGAGGAATCCATCTCCCACAGTAAAGTTCACATCCGTCGTCAGATTCTGGACAACAAGCTGGGCAGTCATGTACTCAGCTGGTGATTGTGTTATGCTTGAATTTAGGCTTCGTGGAGAAGAGCAGTCAAACAGCAGAGTCTTCTCGACAGGAAGCACAAAGATTTGGTAGAAACTGCCAAATCAAAACCACAAAATGCAAAATTTGATCTTCATTTTTTGCTATAATTTTCAAGTTACTAGCAAACAGATTGTTCTTTTTTTCCAGACATTCATATGTCTGGAAAACAGAATGGATCATTCTAACAACTATCATTTTACTATCTCTGCTATTAACCTACTAGTCCCCGAAAAGTAAATGACCCAACATTTAATTAACATTAATATTTGTAATCTAAGAAGGGTGAAGCACTTTATTGTTTTAGGAAATCTTTGACTCGGAGCCGAGCATAATCTACAACTTTGAGAGTGCAAAAACAGACATAAAGATCATATTTACAACTCCTGTAAAAACCACTGTGCAGCTATATTATAGTTTTTTTATTTATTGACTGTGCAATATCCTGTGCAATATGCTGACTGTCCAATATATGTGAATATAATAGTCATACCACTACCTCACCGTTGTTCCTTACCTAATACACTTTAATGTAAAAGTCAATCCACCTGTATATAAGCCATCCTGATTGTACATATGACACCTCAAATCTCTGTGTTACTCCCTTGTATTTTTTAATTTCTTATTTTATTTTGTTTTTCACTGTGTGTGATACATGTACACTTGCACCTTAATCCTTATTTATCTTGATATACTGTATATACCTTGATATACTGTATATTTATTGTTTATTCTTAATGCAACTTTTTCCTCCTTGTTTGCACCTTCTTTAATTACTATGCCAATATGTGACCAGTGAATTTGTCCGCTGTGAGATCAATAAAGCTCATCTAATCTAATCTAATTTATTGTTAAATTAAGTTAATCAGCAAATTAGGAGACAGAATGTGATATAAATGAGTCTAGTCACTTACTATGACTTTAAGAATTTCTAGGCCAGAAGTTTAGTCTAACAATATAATGGTTTAGATAAAATTTATGCAGATCTACATCTTATGGAGGATCTGTGTCAAGACTTTGCAGTCACTCTTGCAACCTAACAATTATTTTACTGCCCACCCAATCGGCATAGCTGGTTTGTGTGTCTGCTGTTGTGAAGACAGTTCTGTGACGATGTATATCTTGTGACAGGAAAAGCTAATCACTGTAGAAAACCCCCATATATAACAACCCAGTCTCATGGGAAAATGTACCCCCACTACGTTGGTCCACACTGCAAAACGTAGTGGAGGTACATTAATGACCATTTTTTTTTTGTGGTACTGTTACATTTCTTCTGCTTATACGCTTTCTATTGTTTTACGTCCTAGTCACGTGACTTTCAAGATTCCAGCTGGGAGAAGAAAAAAAATATATATATGGCCGACATTCGCTCATTTTTTTTTTGTGGAAAGATTAATAACTTGAGTTTGTTTTTGCATTAAAATGAGTTTTGATTACATTTCTAGTGAGAAATGTATAGTTTGTTGCCAGAATATTTACTCAGGGAATGTACATATTCACTTGCTTGTTCGTTTCTTGCAAAGATTTTTCAAGATAATGTGAAACTGTAACATTTTGGTATAAACATGGCTGAGATTTCTCTAACTTTTAGTGGGAAAATCAATAATTTCAATCAGTTTCTGCATTTAAATGGGTTTTGATTACATTTATAGCGAGAAGTGTAGGGTTTATTTACATAATATTTACTTAGTCAACATACATAATCACCCGCTTGCTAGTTTTTGCTACGTTTTTCGGATCTCGTCAGGATTATGTGAAATTGCAACGTTTAGGCTGCTACCCATCGCCTAGCATTTAGCTGCCGCCCCGATTCAACATTGAATTCTTTGTGATTTAACTCCATCTGACGGATCAAACCCTCGCCACTGCGTGCGTTGCGTCTGAGGTTGATTTTCCGATCAATGCATTACGTCGTGGCATACGGGAGAAACTAATTACAGTAAACTAGTTAAAAAAAGGATCATGGGTTAAGATCGGATGTGGGGTATTCCGGAAAGTTCTACGCCTATTTTCAGCGTTACTCTTGTGTTTGCGTAACAATCCGGCGCGAGGTGGCTTGAAACAAACGGTCAGTGGGTGAGGCCCGGCGTGCAGCGAGCAGGAGAAGGTCGTTGGTTGTGCTTGGAGCGGAGGTTTTTCGGAGAAAAAACTGCCCAGGGAAGAAGGCGGAAAATCAAATTACAAATTGAAATTGTCAAAGGCGGATTGAGCATAAACTGGTATGTGAATGGTTCGGTTGGTAATGGAGTTAGGAGATGAGGAAGATATGGGTTTTGATGGGTGGACGCCAGTGGGGAGAGGAAGAGGGAGAGGACGTGAAAGAAACAAAAAAGACGAAGGAAAGGGAATGAGTGAAAGTCAAGGAAGTAAACGAGAACTGGAAGAAAGTAGCTCAGAGGAAGAAAGGATAGTTAGGAGGAAAGTTGTACGAGAGGAATTTAAAATAATATTAAAACTAAAAAATGAGGAAGGACAAGATAACATTAGCCCCATTGTGGTGTCAAGAGAAATAAAAAAGAAAATTGGGGATGTTGAAATGGTAAAGATGTTGAGAGATGGGAATCTGTTGGTGGTTTGTAAAAACGAAGAACAAAAGAACAAGGCTCTTAACGTGGAGAGTATTTGTAAAAAGAATGTGTTAGAGAAAAGAATCATTGGAGAAAATAAAAAAACTAGAGGAGTGATTTATGGGATCCCTCTAGATGAAGATCTTGATAAAATCAAGAAAAGTGTAGTTGGTGCCAAAGTGAGTAACTTAAAGAGACTGTCAAAAACAATAAACGGGGAAAGAGTAGGGAGTCTGTCAATACTCATGGAATTCGAAGAGAAAGAATTACCACTAAACATCAAAATAGGTTATCTCAGTTTTCAGGTCAGGCCTTATATCCCTCCACCACTTCGTTGCTTTAAATGTCAAAGATATGGTCACATAGCAGCAGTTTGCAAAGGAAAGCAGAGATGTCCAAAATGTGGAGAAGATCACAAATTAGAAGAGTGTAAAGAAGAAGTACAAGAAAAATGTTGTAACTGTGGAGGGAATCATAGAGTTACATTCGGAGGATGTGAAGTCAGGAAGAAAGCAAAAGAAGTCACTCAGATTAAAATGACCAAAAATATAAGCTATGCAGAGGCAGTTAAAAATGTGAAAGAACAGAAAATAAGAGAGGTTGAAAAAACGAGGCAAATTCCACTGCAAAGTGAGATACAGACAGAGGAAAAGATCGTGATACCAGTAGAAAAACTAATATTATTCATGGCATATGTCATCAACTGTACTGACCAAGCCAAGAATAAAACGGAGAAGATTAAAATTATAGTGAGGGGAGCGGAAAAGTTTTTGGGGTTTAAAGAGGGATCATGGGAGAGCATAAACAAAAAATTGGAGGTAGACGGGAAGCCAGGAACGTCTGGTGGAAATAATTCATGTTAATACTACAATGGAATGCAAGAAGTTTGATTGCTAACGGACAGGAACTTAAAGGATATATTGATAGTCTTGAGGAAAAACCAGAAATTATTTGTATTCAAGAAACATGGCTAAAAGAAACGTTGGATTTTGTGATTAACGGATATGGTAGTGTAAGAAGAGATAGGCAGGAGGGAGGAGGAGGTGGATGTGGTATATTTGTAAAAGAAGGGATACAATATCAGGTTTTAGGGAAAGGGAAAGAACTTGAATATATAATAATTGAAATTTGGGAACAAGGTGGTAAAGTTAAAATAATAAATTTTTATAATCCTTGTAAATTATTATCAATTGAAATAATGGAGGAATTAACTGAATATTTGGAAGGAAATGTAATTTGGTGTGGGGATTTTAATGCTAATAGTACATTATGGGGTAAATGTAATGATAGAAATGGGAAAATAATAGAAGAATTAATAGAAAGTAAAAATCTTGTATGTATTAATGATGGGAGGGGAACTAGACTTAATATAAGAACAGGGATGGAATCAGCTATTGATTTAACAATAGTCTCAAATGGGTTAGCTAGTAATTGTGAATGGATCATTGATAAAAATACAACAATAGGTAGTGATCATTATCCCATTACAATAAAAGTAGGATTAAATATAAATAATAAAAATAGAAAGGTCAGTAAAAAATGGGATTTTAATAAAGCAGATTGGATTAAATTTAGATTTTTAAGTCAAATAAAATTAGAAAAAGTGGATATGGAAATGAATATAGATGATATAAATTTAAAAATTTGTGAGATAATCTTGGAAGCAGCAGATAAATCTGTGAAGAAAGTAGGCTGTAAAAATTCTAAGAAAATAGTACCATGGTGGACAAATGAATGTAAAGAAGCAATAAAAGCAAGAAACAAAGCATTTAAGGTATTAAGAGGTAACTTAAAGTATGAGAATTTAATTGATTATAAAAGAAAGCAAGCTATGGTAAGGAGAATAATTAAGAATACAAAGAGAGAATACTGGAGAAATTTTTGTAGCACAATAGGGAAGGAAACAAAAATAGAAAAAATTTGGAAAATGATTAGAAGAATGAATGGCATTAAAAGAGAATTCGAATATCCTATATTAAAAGTAGATAATATAAATATAGTTAAAGACGATGATAAAGTAGAAATATTGGCAAGAACATTCAGTAAAATCCACAGTTCTGACAATATTAGTGAGGAGGGTAGAAAAGGAAGAGAAAATACAAAACTCAAATATAAAGATGTGTTGCAGAATGAAGAAGAAGCAAATAATTTGTTAAATGTTGAATTCACAAAAGCTGAATTGAACTCTACATTTACAAAACTTAAAAATACAGCACCAGGGAAAGATAAAATATGGTATAGAATGATAAGTCAGCTCAGTGAAAAATCTAAAGGGATAATATTGGAATTTTATAATAAAATTTGGGAGGAGGGGAAATTACCAATGGAATGGAAAGAATCAATTATAGTACCAATAGCAAAACCAGGGAAAGATAAATCAATACCAGGAAATTATAGACCAATAGCTTTAACATCAAATTTGTGTAAAATAATGGAAAAAATGATTAACAATAGACTAATATTTTATTTAAATAGCAAGGGGTATAT